AGGAGTAGCACGAGGTTTGAATTAAATATTGTGGTTGCGAAAATTGTTAACTGAAATTGGATTCCCACCATCTGAGGCTTGCAAGATAATGTGTGATAACCAGGCAGCGATCGGTATTTCAGAAAATTCGGTACAACATGATCAGACAAAACACGTGGAAGTTGACAGGCACTTCAGAAAAGAGAAGCTAGACGCAGGTAGTGTAGAGCTAACCTTCGTACGCTCTGAAGATCAACTGGCAAATATATTAACAAAGGCAGTGAACGGAAGAATCTTTGGTGAAGTTTTGGGCAAGTTGAGCATTGGCAATCCCACTACTCAACTTGAGGGGCAAGTTGAGCATTGGCAATGCCACTACTCAACTATGAGCGGGGGAGTGTTTAGCAAAGAAAGGGAACTTAGAGGAAAATGTGGGGATCTAAATTTCCCATCATTTCCAATCAGTGCACGATAATTAGGACGAATGAACTATGGCAGGAAAATAATCTCTTTTAATTTCTTACCTTGTATAAACCATGTACCCTAGTATCATTAACAGTGTAAAAGGCAACAGAATAACTCACTCAATCCAAATATTGTATAAACATGTACCCTAGCTATATTAACAGTGTAAAGCAACAGAATAATCAATCAATCAATACGATTCATTCAAAATATGCCTCAAATTATACAATTTAACATAATCCCTCCGCTTTACAAAGACCTAAAATCTCAATGCCTGAAAAGGAAAGTAAAGTTTCAGTTTCTTTAGAGGAAAATCAAGAAATCATTGATATACTTAATGGGGTTAGCTTAAAATGGAAATATAATGTAAAGAAAAAGAATGTAAATATTACAAGCGACAAAATGAATCAATCTTCATCGAGGGAAAACAAGTTCTTTGAATTGACTTTCAATAAAAAGCACAGGGACATGGTTCTCGATAGTTACATAAACCATATTATGGAAAAATCGAAAGAAATATCGAGAAATAATGAAAAGAAGAAGAAGAAAGTGAAACTCTTTACGTTAAATCAAGAAAGGCTATTGACATTAGGGTTAGGAAGGGCAGGAAACATATGGCGATCGATAAATCTGGATCATCCATCAACGTTTGATACATTAGCTATGGAAACAGATTTGAAGAAGATGATAATGGAAGATCCACTTTTTATAGAGATTGAGGAGTTGATAGAGGAAACAGAAGTTACTCCTGCAGAAGTAGGAGAGCAGTTGAAGAAAAGTGAGGAACCTGAGATTGCTCTGAGAGGTCTTATTGACTTCCTAGAGAAGAAGAAGAGAGAAAATTATGAGAGAAAGAAGAAAGAAAGTGAGAAAAGCACAACTAATAATCTTGCAGTACTAAAAGCATTGAACAATAAAGAGCAACAGGAGCTAAATGCTCCCAAAGCAAAGACGTTATCCTTATCATTGATGGGTGTTGCTTCATAGTTGGTAACAGTGTGACATTTGTAATACAAAAACGAGCTAGTTTGGAGAGTCAAGTTCTGATTTGTAACAACCATGTTGCACGGAAACCGAAACGGAAACGTGGAAGCGGGGAAATGTGGAAACAGATATGGAAAACGATATTTTTTAAAAAAATATAAAAAACAAAAACATGGAGAAACGCGTAAATATAAAAAATATAGGATATATTTATAAATATAAAAATATAAATTATTGTAGACCACTCAATATATTCAACAAGTTAAAGTTCAATCAATATTTAATCATATCCAACAAAATTACAAGTTTCATACTCATAAAAATACATGTTTTATAAATTTGTATTCATTTATGCATTTATTTTAATTAGAGAAATGAGTTTTTGAAAGTTTTCAATTTACAGAAATGTATTTAAAGAGGAGAAACGTGTTTCCAAATTACTCAATTTATGGAAATAGTTCCGAAATGTTTCCAAGGAGTTTCTAAAGCCTAATGTTTTCGAAATATGGAAATAGCAGCAAAAGGAAGTTTCTGTGCAATATAGTGTAACACTAATAAATATGAATTTACTGACCAACTTTTTTCAAACATTTTTGTTTTCTATTACAAAACTTACTTTCTATTGTCGATATGGATTTAGATGCAATATATATATTTTTCTTTAACCCAAATAATTTGTTGTTCCTTCTGATTTGGGTTAAGTTTAACCAAAATTACTAAGAAAATTTGATTATTAATTTTAGATATAGAGATATTTTGGGATTGAAGGGATTTAAACTTCAAATTAAATATTAAAAATATATAAATATTTAGAAGTTCTGTTAATTTGAGTGAAATCAAATAAAGTAATTAAAAGATATTGTATCCCAACGGCATGCACTTTTAGAGGCCTAAGCACAATAGAATTCTAAGTAAATTTGATCAACTATGGTTTGATTGGTTACAATTACGAAACCAAAAGATTTAGAAAACTGTTTCCCCTCCAACACTTTCTTTGTTATATCTCAATCAATCGTCATCATCATCACCGTTTTCGTAAACACACAGAATCTACCCAAGCACCACCATGTCTCCCACAATCACCAAAAAAATGCCTTCCACCAAGACAATAATCTCTGCTGCAGCCTCTGCAGCCGCCACCGCCATGCTCCTTCGCTCGGTCGCCAGAGACTATGTCCCAACCGAGCTCAGACACTACATCTACTACAAACTAGAAACGTTCTTCAGTTCTTTCTCATCAGAACTAACCTTAGTCATTGAAGAGTATGATAACCTTAACTCCAACGATCTTTTTAAAGCAGCAGAACTCTATCTTGAACCTATAATCCCTCCCGATACAAAAAGACTGAAAATTTCAATGCCCAAGAAAGAAGGCAAAGTTTCCATTTCCTTGGAGAAAAATCAAGAAGTCATAGATATCTTTAATGGAGTTACATTCAAATGGAAGTTAATATCAAAAGAAGTTGGCCCAAAGTATATTCCACGCCAAGATCACTATAACAACGCAACTTTTGTAACTCATCACAAATTCTTTGAATTAAGTTTCCACAAGAAATTCAAGAAAATGGCTCTTGAAAACTATTTAAAGCACATCGTAGAGAAATCTAAAGAAATGAAAGAGAAGAAGAAGACATTGAAGCTTTTCACATTATTGCAAGATAGGGTTTTAGGAAGAGACGGATGGCACTCTGTGAATCTTGACCATCCTGCAACCTTTGATACATTAGCTATGGATTTAGATGTGAAGAAGACAATAATGGGGGATCTTGAAAGGTTTGTAAAAAGAAAAGAGTATTACAAGAGAGTGGGAAAAGCTTGGAAACGTGGGTATTTGTTGTTTGGGCCTCCAGGAACCGGAAAATCAAGTTTCATTGCTGCTATGGCCAATTATCTTAAGTTTGATATATATGATTTGGAGTTAAGTGAGCTTAGAAACAATTCTGAACTAAGGAAGCTGTTGATTTCTACTGAGAATAAATCGATCCTTGTTGTGGAAGATATTGATTGTTCTATTGAGCTCCAAAATAGGATTGCAGAATCTAGGGCTCATACTGCCAGACTTCAAAATGGTTATATTAATCCAGGAAATCAGGTAATTTATTTTCTTATCTTTTATTTTTATGGTTTGTGTTATAGTCATGAGTGTACGAAAATCCCATTTTTAGACTAGCTCTGGTAATGCATTTTTTGGCAATTTGAGGTTTAATGTCCAAGAATGTTTCTATCATCATTAAAGATCTTAACATTTAATTATGAACTGGTTTGTTAATTCTTGAGTAAGAAAATCAATATACATTTTTGTCACTCTAATGTTTAGTATATAATGCTTGCTTAGTCTTTACACCTGAAAGCTGGAACTAAATGCAATTTATTGTTTTAATGGTTTTGTTATTTCTTTATCAGAAGAGATGAAATATAGACATGACATAGTAACAGCTCCATGGCTTTGAAGGCTAGTTTTCATAATTGAACCTTAAAAATTATGCTTTTGCATCAGTTTCAGGTGACACTATCAGGATTACTCAACTTCATAGATGGATTATGGTCAAGCTGTGGAGATGAAAGGATAATAATTTTCACTACCAATCATAAAGAAAAGCTTGATCCTGCTCTGTTACGCTCAGGTCGAATGGATGTGCATCTTCACATGTCCTATTGCACTCCATGTGGATTCAAAATGCTTGCCTCCAATTACCTGGGGATTACAGATGCAGAGCACCCACTTTTCACGGACGTTGAAGAACTGATCTAAAAGAAAAGCTTGATCCTGCTCTGTTACGCTCAGGTCGAATGGATGTGCATCTTCACATGTCCTATTGCACTCCATGTGGATTCAAAATGCTTGCCTCCAATTACCTGGGGATTACAGATGCAGAGCACCCACTTTTCACGGACGTTGAAGAACTGATAGAGATGACAAAGGTAACTCCTGCAGAAATAGGTGAGCAGCTCATGAAAAGCGACGAACCTGAGATTGCTTTAAGAGGCCTTATCGAGTTCCTAGAGCACAAGATCGAGGATGATGAAAGGAAAAAGAGAGAAGAATTATCAGTAGCAGCAGAAGCAGAAGGTTTGCAGAAGCTGGAGATTGAAAATGGGAAAGTTGAGAAAAGAGTAGGCATAAGAAATAATCAGGATTAATAAATTGCTGTGATGGAAAGAGAATAAAATGGTAAGAACTACGTTAAGAATCTTCAAGAAGCCTCAATATTGTTTATTCGCTGGTCAATGAAGGATTGTTAAGTTTCCGTGTCCGTGCATCATAGGGCGGAACTAACTAATTAACCGATCCGACTCAAACCGAAACAAATCAACTATTTGAATCATTAATCGAACTTGTGTTCTCGTTCTTAAGGAAATCGATCTCGTTATAACTGTAATCAACAATTTGTTGATAAACTCTACTAATTTTTTATCAAATCAAATTAAATAAAAAAGAAAATGTTGTATCTAATAGCCGGCACTTTTATTGGCTCCCAAGTCAAGTGGTCATCTATGTTGATTGGCTATAATTATGAAACCAAAGTTGGAGAAAGCATAAAAATATAAATTTCTCCACTCTAACACTTTCCTGATTAGATCAATCACAAGAAGTCAAGATCACCATGTTTCCCACAGCCACCACAGAAATGCCTTCCACCAAGACAATAATCTCCGCCGCAGCCTCTGCCGCTGCCACTGCCATGCTCCTTCGATCCATCGTCAAAGACTACCTCCCAAGCGAGCTCAGACACTACATCTACTTTAAACTCAAAACTTTTTTCATTTCTTTCTCATCAGAACTAACCTTAGTCATTGAAGAGTATGATAACCTTAATCAAAACCACCTTTTTAAAGCAGCAGAACTCTATCTTGAACCTATGATCCCTCTCAATACAAAAAGAATGAAGATTTCAATGCCCAAGAAAGAAAGCGAAGCGTCCATTTCTTTAGAGAAAGATCAAGAAATCATAGATATCTTTAATGGAATTACCTTGAAATGGAGGTTTATATCAAAAAAAGGTAAGGTAAAGTATATTCCAAGGTCAGATCACTATGACTCAACTCCTGTAACGAAGCATCGACTCTTTGAATTAAGTTTCCACAAGAAATTCAAGAAAATGATTCTTGAAAATTATTTAAAGCATGTAGTAGAGAAATCTAAAGAAATGAAAGAAAAAAAGAAGACATTGAAGCTTTTCACGTTAAGACAAGATAGGGTTTCAGGAAGGAGAGGAGACACTTGGCAATCTGTGAATCTTGATCATCCTGCAACCTTTGACACGTTAGCTATGGATTTAGATGTCAAGAAGACAATAACGGGGGATCTTGAAAGGTTTGTAAAAAGAAAAGAATATTATAAGAGAATAGGAAAAGCTTGGAAACGTGGGTATTTGCTGTTTGGGCCTCCAGGAACCGGAAAGTCAAGCTTGATTGCTGCCATAGCCAATTATCTTAAGTTTGATATATATGACTTGGAGTTGACTGATCTTAGAAACAATTCTGAGCTAAGGAGGCTGTTAATTTCAACTGGGAACAAGTCGATTCTTGTCGTGGAAGATATTGATTGTTCTATTGAGCTCCATAATAGAATTGCAGAAGCCAGAGCTCTTAATCCTAAACTTAATCATAGTTATATTAATCAAGGAAATCAGGTAATTATTTGCTATCATTTTTTGTGAAGTGTTATGTTCAAGAATTTTTTTTCTGTTTTTGTTGATAATCATTAAAGAATTAACATTAATTAAAATTTAAATAGACTTGTTTGGTAATTCTTGATTAAGAAAAGCAAATATAGACGTTTTCAATCTAATGTTTAGTATAAAATGCTTGCTTAGTCTTTACACCTGAAAGCTGGAACTAATGCAATTTATTGTTTTAATGGTTTTGTTATTTCTTTATCAGAAGAGATGAAATATAGACATGACATAGTAACAGCTCCATAGTTTTGAAGGCTAGTTTTCATAATTGAACCTTTAAAATTATGCTTTTGTATCAGTTTCAGGTGACACTATCAGGATTACTCAACTTCATAGATGGATTATGGTCAAGCTGTGGCGATGAAAGGATAATAATTTTCACTACCAATCATAAAGAAAAGCTTGATCCTGCTCTGTTACGCCCAGGTCGAATGGATGTGCATATTCACATGTCCTATTGCACTCCATGTGGATTCAAAATGCTTGCCTCCAATTACCTGGGGATTACAGATGCAGAGTACCCACTTTTCACGGACGTTGAAGAACTGATAGAGATGACAAAGGTAACTCCTGCAGAAATAGGTGAGCAGCTCATGAAAAGCGAGGAACCTGAGATTGCTTTAAGAGGCCTTATCGAGTTCCTAGAGCACAAGATCGATGATGATGAAAGGAAAAAGAGAGAAGAATTATCAGTAGCAGCAGAAGCAGAAGGTTCGCAGAAGCTGGAGATTGAAAATGGGAACGTTGAGAAAAGAGTAGGCATAAGAAATAATCAGGATTAATAAATTGCTGTGATGGAAAGAGAATAAAATGGTAAGAACTACGTTAAGAATCTTCAAGAAGCCTCAATATTGTTATGGCTATTCGCTGGTCGCATGAAGGATTGTTAAGTTGACAATAACCCACGCGAGTTAGAATTTTGTTGATTTGAACCTGAGATTGCTTTAAGAGGCCTTATCGAGTTCCTAGAGCACAAGATCGATGATGATGAAAGGAAAAAGAGAGAAGAATTATCAGTAGCAGCAGAAGCAGAAGGTTCGCAGAAGCTGGAGATTGAAAATGGGAACGTTGAGAAAAGAGTAGGCATAAGAAATAATCAGGATTAATAAATTGCTGTGATGGAAAGAGAATAAAATGGTAAGAACTACGTTAAGAATCTTCAAGAAGCCTCAATATTGTCTATTCGCTGGTCGATGAAGGATTGTTAAGTTGACAATAACACGCATTAGTAATTTTGTTGATTTGAAAATAATTGGTTTAGATTCAATCTTATAGCGTTAATCATTCTGCATAGTTTTGCTTCATTATTGTTAATTTGAAATCCTAACTATTCGTTTCCAGAAAAAATGTGGGGATTACTTGCGCGAATCCCCATTGGTTAAAATACCTGGTAGAACAGTAATTAACAAATTTCCATACAAGAAAAAAACAGAACTGCAATAATTCACAAAATAAATAAAAAAAAAAAAAGAAAAAAAGAAAACCATGAAAGTTCATTAAGTCCATAACCAATCCATTCCAAACGCAATGTATGATTTTAGCATTTGTAGCAATAAAAAGATATTCCCAAGTAATAGAGGAAAACTGAACTCGTAGAGCAAGAAAATACAGACATCCTAAATCACCTTAGACCCCACCAAGTCTGGAACTAAAGGATTCCTCTCTAAATAAGAAAAGGTTCAAGTATATCCAATTACCAATTTTTTTATTTTTACTTGTTAACAGTGTAGCAAGTTAAAGCCTCCCATTGCTGTGCCTGAAACATTGCAGAAAACCAAAGCTTCAGCTTATAAAAGTCCCTAATCATACATATATATCACTGCTTGAGCAACAATAATCAAAACAAAAAAAACCTAAAGTACAGGGCAGTATATTCTTCGAATCAAAAAACCAAAAAGAAGAAAAAAAAAACAAATACTGAATAATGGGTGTAATTCTCTTTGCCAACCACCCTCCCAACCTATTTCTCGCCCACAATAAAAGGTGTATGAAGAAACGGCATTCTTTTTTTTCCAATTAATTTCAACAGCCTCTGGAGATCCTTCAGGTAGATAAATCACATGATGATCAACTCATACAAACACATGTGCTTTTTTCATGCCTCCTATGAGGTATATGATAAAGCAGTTTGCAGAATTGGTATTATGAGATTATGCAAGGAAAATGGAGTTTATGTTAAAAACAAAAATAGCACTGAGTTTATGGTTGAACTTGGGCAGTTGAAATTTGCAACTATTTGCAGGATTTCAGTCTAGCTGCAATTACGTAATTAAATAAATAATAGACATAAGCATCACACTTAGAAATCCTTGGGCATTGCATTTGCACCTAAGGTTCCCATCAGCTTTACACTTAAGGCTGAATTGCATCACACAATCCAAAGGTGTCTAGAATTGCTAGGATTTTATTAAATGACAGACCAACTAATAAAGCATTACAAATATGGTTATTTATTTATAGACTCCGAAGTAATCTCAAAAATTAAAAACGTTAGATTTCTATGACTAGTCTTGATCCTCTTAAGATTAAGGATTTTGATTCCCATAGAGAACTTAGAAATATTAAGGTTTTACTAAACCTAACATGAAAGACTCAAAGATTAACCCTAAATATATGAAGAAATGCTGCAGCTTGCAAAAGTTTCCTTGACCCCCTAGAAAAGAATTCTGGACCTGCTGCTAATTTTTTTGAATAAACAAGTAAACAAGATTTCCAAAGGACTAAACAAAACAAAACAACTACATTGGATCTAGACCACATTCTAAATCATTAAATTTGGAATCCTTAGGATCTTTCCGTTGTACCTTGCAAGAATTCTCTAACATGATACAAGTTTGAATATAAGTCTTTTAATAAGAGGCAACAGCTGAGGCAGCAAGAGAAAATTCCACTTATATCTAAAATGCATTAACTTGATGGAGGAACATCTGGGATCCGAAGCACAAGACAAATCATCATTGCAAAAGGCAGTGTCACTGCAGAAAAACTTACCTGCCTCAAAACTACATGCAAACATTGCCCAGGAGAAACCAAGTATCTGAGTTGTCTGAAACTTTAATGGAGCCCTATATTGCCATTTTCATTTCAATTTTTTGATGAGGATCATAACCTATGAGTTTGAAATCAGCTGCTACAAAAGAATCTATGTTTTTCTTCTCCGGATTAATCTTCAAAATCTGCATCGAAGTACCAGTAAGAGAACACAAAACAACAACAGGAAGAAAATAGGAAAGTGTGAAGAACAACACGAACTAATTCCAAATGGTAATGAGTATGGTTTAATCAACTTAAATAGATGTCACTGTACTAACTGGAAAAGGCTTTGGCGGTTTCTGAAGCTGCTCCTGGAGAGGCCTGACATGAGTCCGATAAACATGAGCATCGCCAAGCACATGAACAAAATCACCAGGAACAAGATCTGTTCAAACTAGATGACTGAGTATAGATTGTTACAAATATAATCATTACTAAAGTAATTATAGATAACTATTACAATCTATTTTTCCATCAGTGCCAGTCCCCTGGCGTGCAACATTATTGTCATAGAAATCTAGCCCCTGATCACTTTTTTCTTGACGATGTCCCATTTCAGCAATATTAGGAACCTTTGCTAGAACAATATAGCGCTAAATGGAATGTGCTGAGCCAACAAGATGGTGTAGGAATCTGCACCACTAGCTAAATACAATTTACCACCAGCTTCAGCTATAATACTCTTTTCACCTACTAATTATCAGTTCACCAAACTTAGCCATCTAATATTAATCAATCCAATCAAAGAATAATAGAATCATATCTGCATACTTCAGTCAACTTCAGAAGGCACCTGTACGTTGATCTGACTAACTTGTCATAACTTGTAACTCACCACATATGATATCAAAAGATTCTCGTGGCCCATTGACCATCAGATCAGATGCCTAAACATTCCCATCTAGACAATATAGCCCTATCAAACTCAAAAAGTAAAAAATTAATTAACAGTTTTCAGAGAATGCATACCACAAACATGAGACACAATGCATGTCAAGAGCGCATAAGATGCAATGTTGAATGGCACACCCAGACCCATGTCAGCAGATCGCTGATACATTTGACAAGACAACTCCCCGTTGGCTACATAGAACTGCAAAACAAAATATCCAGATTTATCAACGGCGAAGGAAATCATGATATGAACTTAGGCTTACTACTAACTTGAGCAAACATGTGGCAGGGAGGAAGTGCCATCAATTTGAGATCGGAAGGATTCCAAGCTGAAAGAATAATTCGACGATCATCTGGATTATTCTTAATCTTGTCAATAACATCTAACAACTGATCAAATCCTTGGCCAGTATAGTCAGCATGCATGTCAGTATACCTGGAAAGAGGAAGTCATATAAAAATAACAAATGATGCCAAGCTCATAAATTTCTATGTCCACCAGTTAAACTTAGATAAAGAAGCATTCAATAACCTAGCACCAAAATGCCTCCACTGGAATCCATAAACAGGTCCTAAGTCACCCTCCTCCCTGTCCTTCAACCCAATACTGAAATTGCAAATGAAAATATCCTTCAAGAAGTGCATGATAAATGAATTTATTTTATGAAATAGTAGAAGTCAAAAATGAATACCGACCCATCAAGGTAATCTCTGGATGCATTGCCGTCCCATATATGAATGCCCTTTTCCTGAAGGACCTGTGCATGCAACATTCAAAATTGCAATTAGATTCTATTTTTAACATCTATGCCAAACAGAAATTTGTATGGGTTATTACACCTCATTCAAATTAATTCATTTTGCAGAACCGAGAACTTGATGACACAAACGTCCAGATGGATTCTTTAACTGGGGGGAAAAATAAACATAATAAATACCAAAAGCTTGCAATCTCAATCCTAATATTCCTAAATGTACAACTAAATAATCTAAACCCGAAATTCTAAAGTAATATGAGAAGAATTAAGATTCATTGGTGTAGAATCACTTATGAGACCTACAAGACCTATAAATTATGCAGCCACACACATCTCATGTAAAAAAAATAAAAATAAATTAAATTTAAAAATGAACAATAAACAGTTGTGTAAATTATACTAGCTAAATAGCCAAATTTACTGAAAAGAACTTCCACGAGAATAAACAGTCAAGAACGCTGTTTTTGGGAGATAATATCCCATTTATGAATAAGAAATAAGTAAAATTGAGAGAAAAAGTTAAATAGTAAAACAGCTACTTCATATGGTAATTTTTTTTATATAAGAACATGCGACCAACCAAAACTGATATCCTCCACAATGCACCATCATTGCATACAGGAGACAAGAGAAAGCAAACAAGTATACACATAAAATGCTTAATTAAGATATAATTACCTTGCAATTTGTTGAGCCACTAATGAACCACAGAAGTTCTTCAACAACCCCTCTCCAGAATACTTTCTACAAATCAATTATAAAACCTTGAGACAAATGAATGATTTTGTTTCCTTAAAGAACTGATTTCACGTTGAATCATAAGCCAATCTAAATAACAAGAGTGAAAAGGACACAAATGCAGGAGATCTAAATTCAGTGGAAGCAACAATGGCAAACTATAAAGCAGAACAGAAAAAAAGCAAAAAATGAGTCTATACACATGCCTTTGTTGTCAGCAGCGGAAAAGTTCTACGCAAATTGAACCGCATCTGTAGATTAGATAGAGGAAAAGAAAAGGCAATCCAGTCATATCCATCAGTAATTAAGAGAACAAACTGTTGAATGCAACGGAAATGTCATTTGACTCATTTCAGAAGCAAAGATAAATAAAATCATAAATAATTGGTGGTTCACATTACCTGGCATCCAAACTTGGACAAAGTACCAGTTCCGGTTCTGTCATCCTTCAAATTGCCATCTGAGATAATGTCTTGGACAAGTCTCAGGTACAAGAACTCCTCATGTCTCTCAAAAACCATCTTTGGAAGGAAAGAGAACTTCTTTACCTCAAACTTAATGTAACTATTATCAGAGCTCAGACCATTATCTTGACCATGGGACTCAACCGCAGAAACCCTCACTCGTACATAAGTTGCAAAGCAATATCTTACATTGTTTTCTACAATGGGAAAGGATGAATACCAAGGTTGAAAGACAGAAGAATCAATTTTAGGGATAAAAGTATCACAATCAATGCTTGTCTCGATTTCTGTGATGTGGATAGCATCACACCCAGGTGCGTTGAGAGATTCCCTGTATTAGAAGATCATCAAAGCAAGTAAAGAAAAGGAATAGTTAACCAATAAAAAAGTAGAAAAAGTAGTGCAAACCTTAATATTTGGCCACCTCCAATGATAAAGACTTTCTCAATTGATAGGCAGTAAGGAGATGCAGCCAATAATTCCAGAGCAGAAGTTAAGCTTCCACATATCACTACATTCTCAGCAGTAGCAATATCAAAACTCCCAGATCGAGTCAGAACAACATTAAGGCGACCAGGAAGAGGACGATGCTCAAGTGGAATACTTTCCCATGTTTTTCTACCCATTATTACTGCATTCTTTCTTCCAGAATCAGAAGTAGTCAGAGTAACATCCTTGAAGAATTTGAGATCAGAAGGCAATCTCCATGGCAACTTCCCTTCTTTTCCAATACCCATGTCCCTAGTAGCAGCCACAACAACTTGGTACGTTCTTCTTGGATCAGACTGTATATTAGCAGTGCCATTTGAAAGGCTCGCCTTGGAGTCTCCAGCCATATTTGAAAAGAAAGCCAAACAGAAATTTGATGATGGCACCTCAGAACTAACAGTATACACCCAACTTTTGCAGAAGTTCTTTAGAACCTGAAATAGTAAAGCAATAAGAAAATCAAAATTGAAAGTAAATTTAGAAATTGAGTCGGCAACTCCACCCATTGAGTTGGTAACTCCACAAGCTAGAGTCCTGACCAACATAACAAAATAAAAAACGAAGGAAAATATTTAAGAAAAAAAAGTATCAGAAACTTTAAATACATAGATAAATTAAACCAGCCATAATCGTAAAATTTTCTTTCTTGGCACTCCATAATCACATAAAACCAACAGCCATTATAAATACTACATTTACCAAAATGGAAAACCAAAATTCTTCTCAAAATCACACAAAATTACTAAAGATTTCTACCCATACCAACACGCCAAAAAAAAACTATAGTTCTTACATGATCTTCCCTTCAATAACCAAAATTTCAAAAAATGCAATAAAGAAACTAACCGATCTGAGACCAAATCGCACAATCTTCAGATGTCCAAATGAGAAGCTTCAAAATCAAAACGATCTCAGCAACGCTAGAACAAGCATCTACTTTTAAAAAAAGAATTAGGGTTTTGGGCAAAAATACAAAAGAAGAAGAGTGAATTGTTAGTTGCAGAGAGTCTAGTACAGTAGAGAGGTTAAAGAGAAGGACAAACGCAAGCGAAAGCGAAAAATCAAAGAGAGTAAAGATGCTTTCTTCCCTTTCAATGTATTTGCTTTGCTTTTGTTTTTGAAACAGAGCAAAGAAAGTTGAAGGAAAGAGAAGAGAAAATCCAAAAAGCACGGTTTACGCGGAGTGCCGCCAAAGTCAGTAGAGTGAGTTACTAATATTTTTTATTATTATTATCTCCGCTTCTTAAAATGCCCTCGTTTTCTATATATATTTACTAATCAATCCATTCTCATTTTTAAGTTTTCAATTACCAACAAACAATTTCGTATTTAGATTTTCTTTAAAATAAATAAATGATTATTAAATAGCATCATCAATATATCTTGAGATCTTTTTGTTATACAATAAGTGGCTTCCGTAATAAAATTATGAGCCATACAATATAAGGTAGTCTTCATTTTCAAATATCATTTATTGAATTAGAGATAATTTTTATAATAAAATATATTATTTTATTTGAAAATTTTATTTGTTTAAGAAAAAATCTAAACATTGTTTTCATATTTTGAAAGGTAACTCCTTATAACAATACTAAATGTTAGAAACAATGTTTAATTTGTCTTCCAACTTTATTCGCAATGTATAATTTAATTGAAATTGATTGATTGAATCGATTTTAATATAAATTTTCAATCAAAAAATTAATTTGGTTAATTTAGTCAAAATACGTGAAAAAATAAGTTACAAGAAAAATAAATAATCTAATTTTTTTTCACATTAAACATGTTTTAACACACTTTAATACATTTTTTGAGTAAAAAAAATAAGTCCAATTAAGGATAATTCCTAAAGGATAAGATTCATTTTAAGGATAATATATTATATAATAAAAAGAAAAACGAAATAAAGAGTCAAATGCATAATAGATAAGGGATAAGTCCAATTAGGATAGGGATAGAGTGCAGAAGCAATTGTCTATTATACTGCTCCAAGCCTGTAACTGTAAGGCGGGAAATCCAGAGACAACCATTTAGATAATGACACTTGTCAGCCTTTCACCAAATTACTAGAACGGAAATCTTGGCCCTCCATTTGGCAGGTATCAGCAACCCTTTTTTTTACCGGAGTGATATTTTGGTAAATTAATTTTTAGTTTTAATCCTAATTACTACTTAATCATTTATTTTGACTAAATAATTAAATCATTCCTAACTTTTTTAAACTAGTTTAATTATTACATGTTTAGCGATGCTAGTTATTTGCACCGCTGCGTCATAGTAGCCGTCAATTTTGCTGAGTCTTAAGTCTTTAAGAGTTAGATATTAGTGTTTATAGTTAATTGTTTAAAGCAAAATTATTAAAAATAATTATTTAATTGGTTGTTAAATGAAAAATAATTTAAAAAGCTCTTGCTAAATACTAAATTTTAAAAGATAAAACATTTCATGAAACATTATTTCAACTTCAGAACATACATCAATATTTTGTTTTTAATAATCAACATAAGTAGTATGGTTTAAATGTCAAATATTATCTTAAACGTTGTTACCGAACAAGTCTTATTTTGTCAAAAAAAAATATCATTTTTCTGTTAATTTTTTGTGATATTTTACTCTTTGATCCTTCAAGTTTATTATGATAGTGTTATTATTTAATTTATTGCATTTAATATAATGTTGTTATTTAATCTCTTACTTAATCATAAAACAATACTTTTTTATTAACAAAATAATTTAATGGATTTAAAAGTTAAAAACATTTTAATTGGGAGTGAGTAATTCTCGATTTCTGATTGATATCAAACCAAATCAATTCATTTCGGTCGGATTTGAATTGATTTTAAAAAATAGTTATCAATCTATTTGGACATATTAAAAACGTGTGATTTTCAATTTTGGTTTGATTATCTTATATAACTAACTGAATTTATTTTTAAACCTAAAAAGCTAATTCGATTTAAAATAACTGAATACAAATTGATTTAATTTGATTGTGGATCAATTTTTATACTATTTAGTTCATGTTTGGTTATCATTTTAAGTATATTTGGAAGGACTGAAGTCAGTGCTAATTCGGTTTGGTTGTTAACCGAATGCTGACCTTATTTTTTGGTAGTACAAGGATTAAGTAGTAAATAGGTCAAATTTTAAGGATTGGATAATATTTTCTTTTCAAAAATTGGGAAATTAATTGAATTGGTATAGATATTACTTCAACGTTTTAATTACTCCAGCTTCCAACAAATTAAGATTATTCAATCCCAGCCGTTGACGTCGAAGTCATAATGATTGTGACCGTATGCTGCAGTTGCGGGTTCTTTATATATATATATATCTTTTTTAGATATATTTGGAGGACTGAATCGAGTGCTAATTAACGGTTGTGTTAAACGAATGACTTGACTTATTTTTTGGACTTAGTACCAAAGGATTAAGTTAGGAAATAGGAGTCAAAATTTTAAGGATTGGATAATATTTTCTTTTCAAAAATTGGGAAATTAATCAAATTGTAGTGAGGATATTACTTCAAGCGTTTTAATACTCCAGCTCAACAAAATAAGATTCATTCAATCCCAGCGTTGACGCTCGAAAGTCATAATGATTGACCGTATGCCTGCAGTTGCAAGCGCGTTTCATTTATATATAATATATAATATATATATATATATATAATTCTTATTTTAACTTATACCTATAAATCATCTTGGATGCTAAATTCAGTATTATAATTTTATTTTTAACTTATAATCATTTGGATGTAATTCAATTTGATTGAGCCAATGCTCATAGATCATTACATATAATGTTTTCATTCTAAAAAAAAAAATTTGATATATAGTTTAAAATTAATTTGGAAAAACTAATGTATGAGTATTAAATTGATTCATATTGTTTTAATTGTACGAATAAAATTGAATTTTTATCTTAAAATTATTTCAACTACAATATAAAAATAATAATGAATTTATTTTTTCAAATAAATAATTGTATTATAATTTTAAGAAACATGATATAAATTACAATTATATTTATGCAATTTAGCTATAAGTTTAGTCTAATCTAATTAAATTAACTTTATCATAACTTCATGCCGTAAAATAAAATAAAAAAATTTAAAACGTCAAAAAAAAATTTATATATAAAAATTATTTTATTTCCAAGCATAAGAATCTAAAAAATGAATAAGCTTAAACATGTATACAATGATTAAATGAATTTGCAATGTCAAGCAAAAAGAAAAAACAAATAACCAATTAAGAGTTGACAATCTAAAAATAAAAAATTATGAGTAAAAAAGATACAAAGTCTTTTAAGACAACTCCAGAGACTTGTATATCTGGAAACAAAATGTCTAAACAATAAAACAACAACCATCTCAAAATAAATATTTCGTTATAAAATCAATTACAATTACTCATTTCACATATGAATCCATTTAAATACAAGTTAAAAATTCAAAATTAAAAAAAAATAAAAATAAGTAAAAAACATAAAAAATTATTTTGACTTGATAAACACATAGTATATATAAAAATTATAATCATAATAACATTAAAGTACTAATTAAACTAATAACGAATAGTGAATCTTCAAATATTTTTTAAAGACCCATTTGGTCTAGTAGTTTAGGTTTGATAGCAGTTATATACATGAATATTGATGTTTGGTAAAATTTCGATAACAATTGCTATTAAACTGTGTTATTAAGTATATAATTATACTTATATATTATAAGGAATAATATTTAGTTTTTAATTTTTAAAGTGAATATATTATTTTCTATTTTAATGTATTATATCAATGAAAAATAATCATAAATTTTTAAGATAATATTTAATAAAATTTTATTATTTTTTATAAGATAATATTTAATAAAAATTTTATTATTTTAAATTCAAGCTATAAATAAAATAATAACAAGAAATATCTTGAAAAATAAATTTCATTAGTAATTGTTTTATATAAAATTAATAAAAAATATTATCTTAAAAATAATTTCATTAGTAATTGTTTTTATAAAATTAATAAATTTTAAATATAATATAAATATAAATTAGCTACCAATTAATACGAAAAAACTATTTAAACATAACTGATGAAATTCGTGCTAATATTAAGACTTTTATTGGCTACTAACTATTGATTAAAATTCTTGTGAAATGCTATAAGTTAGTTGTTGGTATAAAACGCCTCTTCATGTGTACTAACCAAGGCTATTGATTTTTCATAAATTAATGCTTAAATATGTAAAAATAAATTAATTTTTCAATAAAAATAAAGACAATAACTATTTAGTCCTTCAATTTTGGTTAATTACACTAGTTAATCTCGAATTTTTTCCAAAACTCATATTATGCCCTTAAGTTTTGTCCTTGACCAGCATTTAAATCCTTCCGTCCAATTTTGATGAGTTTTGTAAATTAAAAGACAAAAATACCCCAATGCAAACGAAAACAAACCCTAGCCACCAAACACTTTGTCTTCTACCATTCATCGTCTTCAACATCATAGCCAATTAAAATACAACAAGTCACAAAAGCCATTGCTGCTGATTGAAGCCTTCATCATCGACAAACATACTTGGTGCAATCGATACCCATTTCTTCTTCTTTCTCTTGTTTTTTTTCCCATCAAATCAACGTCATTCTTGGATCTCACGAAGACGACTTCAGCATCTCCGCTGCAAACGAATTTGGTATGACCATTCCAGTGTTGTTTCAATTTCTAGCGATGATATTTTTCGCCATATTTTGGCCCTTTCCCTTTTTGATTTATATTTTTGTTGTGTTTTGAGTTTGGTCTTCTTTTTCTTTTTTTTTTTTTTTTTTTTTTTTTTTTTTTTTTTTTTTTTTTTTTTTTTTATTTTACTTGAAAACTAAAATTTGAGTTTTGTATTCTCTTAAAATCAAACTGCTTGTTCTTAATTATTTGCCACTAAAGAATAAAACAACTATCGCCTCTCAATGTCAAACTATACACTGATGAATCTATTTGCAAGTGTAGTACATATATGCTCTCCACATGTCACCATGAAAGCTATCAATACCAAACTTGAAACCCACCTTTTAGCATTTTACCCATAATCAAGCGAAATCTATTATCAAAAAGAAAAAAGATTCTTCCAGTATAACCTACTGAGTCATAATATAAAATTTTCTTTTTCTCTTTTTTTCTTTTGAGAAAGGTGATGTTAAAGTTAATTTTAATTTTGTTATTTAAAGGGTTTCTCTCACATCTTACTATCTATTGCCATTGACTCACAGCTAAACACAGACAAAACTTAGGGATGCAATCGTGTTTCGAAAAACTGAGAACTAATTAGTATATTTGATCAAAAGAGGGGGACTAGATAGTAATTCTCTTTAAAAATAATAATATATTACTGAAATTCAGAGCGACTGATAAAATCTCCCTTTCGCCATCTCAGAAAAAAAAAAAAAAAAAAAAAAAAAAAAAAAAAAAAAAAAAAAGATCTCTCTGTCCCCGCCTTACACAATACCTGCCATCCCTGACAAAGAGTTCATGAATTTTAGCATGGATAAAAAAAAAATTGAAGGGTATGTTTGTGAGGAAAATGGAATGAAGAAAAATGAGTGGATAATGTCATTTATAGTTAACATTACAAGCCAAATACATTTTCTATCTATTTACTTTTCTCCCATTTTCCACCCTCCCAAAGATACCCTTAGGGACAGGATTACGATTGTTGGTTTTGATTCCTTGCACAATTGTCAACAATTGCGGAAATTCTCCCAAAAAAAAAAAAAAAAAAAAAAAAAAAAACCAATTCGTAGGTTAGGAATTAAACTGATGAAGAAAGGAAAAAAAAAAAAAAAAAAAACAATTGCGGTAGGATTAGGAATAAACTGATGAAGAAAGGATCAGATTTATTCTTCATTTTGGTATGAAACCAGTTAACTACTGCTTCATCCATTTTAAAATATAAATTGTTTATAATTTTTGAACAAGAATTCGGAAAATAATTCATTTTTAAAATTATAATAAAAATTAAAGATAATTTGATCAAATTATTTTTATTTCAAAATTAAGTGTAATTTGTGAAAATAGTTATTATATTTAATATAAATAAGGATACAATTGAAAAAAAAAATTATTTATTACTCCTTAAAAAATTCAAAATAAAGCAACTTAACAATTTATATTTTGAGACGAACGGAATATCATTAATAGTATTGTTATTATTAATTATCAGAACTAATTATTACCACTGAGAAATTATTTTACACACGTGTAAAAAATGTAAACAGTATCATTATCAAGAGAGAGCGGACTCAACTCTATTTTTTGTGCTTAATTTTAAGGGTGACCAACTTTGATATATTTAGTAATTCCACTAATTTAGTTTGATTTTTATGATAAAAAATTCAAAAATAATTGGATGAAATTGTATCAAATTATTTATTTATATATATCAGACATGATATACATTTTTTATAATTCTAGTTATTTCAATTAATTTTGTTTTTGTTATTATTATGATTTTCTTTCAATTTATTTTAATTTATTTAGTTTATTTTTCAATTTTGGATCGAAACGAATTGTTTCGAACATAGTGGGACCAATTAGGAATATGTGCCCATCAATTTTCAAGTATCATATACTTGAAAAGAGTTGCATTATGCACATATTCTCTCCAAATTGATCCTTTATATATGTTATTAAGGGCCATCATGTCTCTCATATCTTATGTTTGCCCTAATTACATCTTTATTCAAATTGGAATGATGCCTGCCTTCAATCTGGGCTACACATGTAGGCTCCACTATCCAATCATATAAGAAAAATTAATTTAATAAAATCCAGGGTTAATTATATTTGCGGTGTTAAATTCTTAATTTTTTTTTTATTCTGGTGTCTGAATAAAAAATTTATAATTAAATGTAGAAATTAATTTGTGTAAAATTAATATATTTTGCTAGAATTTCTTATAAAAAACAAATCAAAAGACTTGTTTTACCATATTACTTTGTTTATTTTTTAATTATTATTTTTTTCCTTTTTTATATTATCTAACAAAACAATCCATTTTAAATTTCTAGCAAAATAACTCAGCTAAATGCACTTGATTGTAATTTTTTTAATAATTAAGAAATACGATTACAAAATTTTTTATTCAAACGCTAAAATAAGAAAATTAAAAAATTTAGACAACACAAATATAATTAAATCTAAAAATAATATTTATAAATATTGAAGAGAGACTTGAATTGACAAATCACCTAAACCATAAATGGAATAGGGCAAGAGGTCATTGTCTATGAAAACAATGAATATTTGCACTATTGTGGACTTCAATTGTTACCACCAAAATGAGAAATATGGCATATTTTTTTTGTGGGTTCATAGAAGGCCACACATGTCTTTGTTGAGCCTCTCTTACACGTTTTGTCTAAAGATTAGGGTTCTCAAAAATTCAACATACTATGAATGTTTGTTCAAAATTCTATAAATGGATATAAAGATTCATTAGTACAAATTATTTATACTATGACATAAATTTTTCATTCTATCAAGTAATACATTTCTTGTCCTTTTAATTTATAAGTGAGATTGTTTCCTTTTAATTTATAAATGAATTTCATTAAAAAAAAAATATCAATAAATTAATGAATCATAATATTTGGTCAAATTACAAAATTTAATTAAATACATAATATTACTCATTAGTCTTTTAAATTTACTAACTTTATAAATTTGTATGCTTGCTATAAATTTCATCAATTTTGACATAAAATTGAAAATTAAAAATCTCTAATTACTTTATTATGTGAAAATTAAATACTAAATTTCACTTCATTTAATTTACTTTATTTCATTCAATAATATTTTCTAATTAATCAATTGTAAAAATGGATGGCCTCAATTACTAAATCAACAAGACCTTTTTTTTTCCCTCCCTTTTATTATATTATTTATAACTTTTACTAAAATATCTATAGTTTCCCAAAAACCAAAAAATATTTTATTATTTAAAAGAAAATAGTAAAATGAAAGGTCTTTAAAGTATAGAGAAGTTGCTTTCAAAGGGAAAATGTCACTCTGGCAATTTGACAAATAGATTTCTTAGCACTCAAGCAACCAATTATCAATTATCTTATGCCATTTAACAATTTTGTGTTGATGTATTATCTCTAGATAACTAGTTAGAGTGGGGCTCACATAAAGGATAAGTTCAGTCCTTGATCATATCTTATCAATTAAATTAGTTTTTCCTAATCAGAAAAAAAAAAAAAAAAAAAAAAAAAAAAAAAATATTTTATTATTTAAAGAAAATAGTAAAATGAAAGTCTTTAATAGTTATAGAGCGAAGTTGCTTTCAAAGGGAAAATGTCACTCTTGGCCAATTTTGACCAAATTAGATTTCTTAGCACTCCAAGCCAAAACCAATTAGTCAATTATCTTATGCCCATTTAACAATTTTGTGTTGATGTATTATTCTCTACAAAACTAAGAGTGGTGGCGCACCATTAAAAGGATAAGTTCAGTCCTTTGATCAGTATCCTTATCAATTACAATTAGTTTTTCCTAAATCAGAAAAAAAAGAAAAAAAAAAAAAAAAAAAAAAAAAAAAAATGTAAACCATCCTTTTCTTTTTCCGTAAGATATCAAATGTCAATGATTTGCTTAGGTCTTGCATTAATAATATGTATATAATAAGGAGAAAGTAAAAAATAAATAAATAAATAAAAGTATTTATCTTTTTGTTTTTTTTTGGCCCAAACAGGAATTTGTGTTTCACCCTCTTAGACTATGCTTGCTTGTTTATTATCTGAAAATAGCTTATTTTTTAAAATTTTTTTTTAATTTTCTATTATTTGATTATAATATTACAAAAACTTGAATTATACAAACTTTACATCTTTAAGTTTTGTTGCTAAATATAAGTAAAAAATATATTAAAAAATAAATTATAGTAGTTAGCACGGCGGTGGTGGCTGATGACAGCGGTAACCGGCTTTTGTTATGTGATAATTAATAATGGTAACCACCGATAACTAACAATTAAAAAATTAATAAATGTATAGTTATGAGTTGTTTCGTTTGTATTTCAAGTTTGTTTGTATTGAGAAATGTTCTCTTCTGTACAGAGTAGAAGTTATTTTTCTTTTTGATTTTTTTAAACACCCCAAATATCGGTAAATTCAGGAACAAACAAAGCCTTTATAAGTAAAATTAACAATTAACGGTGTTAAAAGTATCAGATTCTCAGTTGTTGATGGCCTAAAATACAACACATGCCATTTCTTTTTTGTTTAAAAAAAAGAAAAACAAATGTGTAGAAGTGAGAGTGTGAAACCATAAGAGGGTCTAGCGGGCTTCAAATATGTGAGATGAGACCGCTGGTCAATGGGATAAGTTTCATCCACAATCACTCAACTTATCACTATTACTTAATTTTAATCCACAACATAAAAATCACCAAAGTAATCAAAACTATTGGAACAAACATAATTTCTAATCATAATCTAAAATTGCCAAAACGCTGTTGCTCTGGTACAAATGGTTAATTTCTGCAGTCAAAGACCCTCAAAGAACTTCATATGGTCTTCAAATGTCTCTCCGTGCCGTATTTTGGTCACTGATCCATCTTCTTCGACCTAAAATAAATAAGTAAAATCAAATTTTCAGAACTTGTTTTCTAGGCAAAGAGTAGTACATAAAGGAAATCACAAATTTCAATTAGTTAGCAAGAAGCACAAGGTGATTTGAATGCAAAAGAGGTCATTGGCAAACTGAAAGCAGAGTGAAAAAGAATGTTGCATATGGTTTGTACAGATGATACGTGCTAAGTGATCTGTACCCAGTATTCAGGAGGGCGCATCTTCAGATTGTATGTTGATGCCATACTCATGCAGTAAGCACCAGCATCATGAACTACCAAACCATCTCCCTGCAAAGCACAGCTCTTGTTCAGAATATAAAAAAGGATCATCACTGCAGCTATGGCATAAAGAAGCAAAAGAAAGTTACCTTAGCAGGGGTTGGAAGTTCTCTGTTCTTTCCCAAGAAATCAGCAGACTCACAGACAGGACCCACCACATCAAAAGTTGAAACCTCAGCATTTGGTGGTGCAGGAGAAACTAGCTCTATGTGCTGCGATGAAACATTGAAGACTCAATTTTCACAAAATAACTAAGAAGCAAAAACAAAGTATTCATGTGTAGAGAGGGTCAGGTGGGCAGATGAGTTGCAATCGCTGTTCAAAGTCATAAAAGGAGATGAATACAAAATGCACATGAGGCAATTAACCAGATTACCACAGATCTCTAGTAACATGTAGGAAAAAATAGTGCTACAATTTCCCACAATATGCTTGGGCTGCAATAGCTAAATGTGCCATGGATGTGCCAACTTGCAAGCATGTAAACAAATAGTTCAGATACCAAATTACTTTTAAGGCACAGTTGAATGTGCCATGGAAATTCAACTAATAACACGCATGTCATAGTGGGGTTAGCAAATCGGAAGCATGCCTATGAAAAAGTCCAAGATGAAAGGTAATGATAAAATAGCAACCCCTAGCAGCAGTCTTGTATAAACGGAAAAAAAAAGTTAAATAAAGTAAATAATACCTTCAACAATCAAAGTAGTATCTACTGCATTCAGCTCCTATAGTCAGTACCATGAAGATATGAGATATGGGCAGTGAGAAATAAAATGTGATTAATTGACAAGAATAGTTTAATTTTCAGTTGATACAGCCACACATCTCAGTATTTGACAAGAAGCCTAAAGCAATGCAATTAGATTTTGCCTTTCAATAAAGGCAAAAGTAAACAAGCAAATTACGTCTACATTAAAAAGTAACAAAAATTCAGATACCCAAGAAATACAAAATAATCTGCTGCCAAACGACACAATACAGGTTCATCATTCTTCAATACTTACTTGGTATGCATCATAAAGACTGGGTCGAATAAGTTCAGCCATGCTGCCATCAATCACAATAAAATTTTTAGTTCCGTTAGTTTTCACACCCGTGACCCTGTTGACCAGGCAGCAGGTATTTGCAATTAATGATCTCCCTGGTTCAATGATGAGATTGAGATCCCGTGAGAGCACCAAATCTCGAACCTAAATCAAAACCGATAATGTAATGCTAAGTTGATTTTAGGTACAAATGAACAGAACTGTCAACATGTGGACGCTTGGTCTAATGCTCAGAAGATGATGATGATCAAGGTAAAGTAAATTCCTGGTCCTTCAAACACCAATAGGATTCAACAATGGACAAATCATTGAAGACATGGGAAATAAAGTAAATTGGCTCTTAAGGACCCATTATATATTCCAATGGACTACATGAATGATTAACAGGAAACATGTGTGGATGCACAAGTTATCAATAGGATGAGAGGCATGAGACAAGATTAGAAAGGATGATCCTTACAGTGTCAATGAGGTCTCTTGGAGTGGGAAGGACAGCACCAGCATGATAGTAATCTATACCCAAACCACCTCCTATGTTTAGGTAGTTAACTTCAAAGCCTTGAGCTCGAATTTCATCAATATAGTTGATCATAAGAACTGCAGCATCCCTGAATATGTCCACCTAAATCACATCACAAAGAGAGTTTTGATATTAACAAGTCCAAAGACCAAAAATTTGTCCATTTGTGGATAAAGAAGAAATACACATGAACATACATTACCAAAAAAATTTTGAAGACTAAAGTAAACAAGAGTAAATCAAATGAGGAAGGATCATATATAATGAGAAGTCACAGCCAGCGATAATAGGAAAAGGATTAAAATTAGCATTTGACATCATCCTCGGCTTCGCCAAGTAAAACAGGAAAATATACTCTTTGTAATGCTTACATGCAAGGGTAACATATATTCACCACAAATATTTAACTTACAATTACCAACATTTAAATGGACAATAAATGAATAAGGAGTTAATATTGTGGGTGCCCAAAACAAGTTAGAAAATCAAAAGACAATTTCTACTCATTGCACCTTAAAAAGAAAGGTTTAAGGCACAAACATGATTGTCCTTGAAATATGAGGCTCTCCCATGCCTCATTTATAAAATTTAAGCAAAATCCAGTTTACCAGCCTACCATCTATAGACTTGGGAATTGGCAAACTAAAGGCTGTCCAGTTCATAAGTTGATAGAAATTAGAACACATAATCGCACATCTTCAAAATGTACAACTAGATGAGGTAAATGAAAACAAAGTGAAAATTTAACATTAATCTACAACAACCAATTACATTCCTAGTCCAAGATATGTGAACCTAAATTCCAAATTACAGCATGGAAAGTGCAACATAATACGACCTGTTAACTGTTAAGATACCTTTGTAATGGTTGAGCCAAGATGGCAATGAGCCCCCACAAGCTTCAGCTCATCAGGTTGTGACTTAACAGCATCCAGAAACCATTGCAGTTTCTCGTTTCGAATGCCAAATTTAGAGTTCTTGTTCCCAGTGGCAACATAAGGATGGACCTAATGAACGTAAACGAAAAATACCTATTATTCATCACAATTATTTCAAATACAGCAATTTCAACAAGAATTTTTGTCATACAGTTTTACAAACTTAATCAGCTTAAACTGTGTCGCCTCAATTGTCCAGAAATTGATAATCTATGATTATAGCGCATCATCACGGTCTAAAGATTCAGATTTTTATCATACAGATGAATGAGAATGCACTGGAATAGGGTATTGGCTAAGGTATAAGGGGCTTGCAACCAATATCAGAAGAGACATCAATGATACTGACCTTGCAGCATTACCTCTCCCTGAAAAGGAGGTGATCCAGCCGCACAGTTAGATGAACAGCCACAGCAAAGGAGTTTGCAGTAGGTATGATATTGATTACAACTTTATTATGGTGTTGCAGAAGAATTGGTTAAGGTTTTGAAGCAGCACTGCTTGTATTCATGATATTGACAGATAATACAGATACAAGGTGAATAATAATGACCATGTTTCATTCAAATATATCATGAAAACTTGAAAAGCTAAATACATTAACATCAACCGGACCTTTTTGCTCTACTAGAATAAAGCAATGTTAATCAATTTCAATTCCTAAAGGGACACGTACACTCACAAAAATATTAAAATTGGATCCTAGAAACTAACCATTAAAACTACTGCTCAGACAACTTTCATCAACATCATCATTTCAATACTATAATATAATTTCACATACAAATACTGAGGCCCAAGTTCCAGTTCCTGATATTTGAAGTCTCAGGTTCTGATAAAAAAGCATGAAAGACCTCTTACAATATAATATCGGCTTGAGATTGGACAAAAATTCCACCAGCAAAATAACCAATAAAAATTATTTTCTATTAGAAACAAAGCATCTTATTAACTTACCTAGGCCATGAATGGACTCAATCAACAAACAAAGACTTCTATATTACCAATTACTGATCTACTACAATATTGCCACATTTGGGATGACCAAAGATTCTAATATTGTTCTGTTTACCATGAAATCACTTGCTCCATGCAACAAGTGCGAGTATCTAGTTGTTCAAAAGAAAGGGTTATTACCTGAGGGTCAACATCTGGATTAATTCGAAGTAAAACGTTAACCTTTTCGCCAGCAATTCTAGCAGCTGCTACAATATTCTCTAAATCAAATTCACTATCCACATTAACAAAAACACCTTCTTGAGCAGCTAAAACCAAATCCTCCAAAAGCTTCCCATTTCCATTAAAAATACACCTGCACATTGACACATTAACTCCAATGTGGACACAAATTAAAATTTCAGACCTACCTAATTACGCTAAAATTAAGCAAATACAAATAACCATTTCTAAAATTTACCTTTTGGGGTCGAATCCAGCGCGAAGAGCCAGTCTAAGCTCATTACCACTAACAAGGACAGCCCCACAACCCAACTGCCTCAAATGCTCCAAAACCTTCAAGTTATTATTAGCCTTAATTGCATACCCAATAATTGAATTCAATCCTTCTAAAGCATCCCTATAAGCCTCAACATTTCTAGTAATTTGGGGCTTACTATACAAATAAAATGGTCTTTTTTCAACGTTCTCCATAATATCCTGGACCTTGAGATTCTCACAGTAGAGAAACCCATCAGAGGGTTTTGTGAAACAATGCTTAAAAGGAGTAGTCTTTTGGGTAAACGTATTTGCTTGGTTTTGGGATAAAACTGCTTTGAGAGAGAAAGGTTTTGAGGAGGTTCTGGTGAATTTTAGAGGTAAAATGGGAATTTTAAGAAATGGGTTTTGGTTCAAAGGATAGGTTCGGGTTTTGGACAGAGAGGGTGGACGGTAAAGATGGGTGCTTGTGGTGGTCGCCGCCATTGATCAACCAGAAACTCTCAAAGCCTTTCAGAAAGTGTTGTAGGGTTTAAGAACTGAGATAAAAGAGACTAAAAGGATGCATTGGCTTAACATTCTATTATATTTTAAGAGATTTTAAAAAATCCATTCAAGGTAGATTTTGTTTGGATTTATTAAAATCCTTTGTTATTTAATTCAGACTCTTATAAAATTTATAAAAATATATTGATATTCAATTATTACTTTTAAAAGTCCATATAAAATTAATCGTATTTAAAAAATTACTAATTTTGAAAGATTTTGTAAAATTATTGATTTCGTTAGATTGTAAAATGCTGGGTATAAATAAAAGGTTGTAAGGTGCTAGGTATATTTAAAAATCTCATAAAATCTAACAGAGCCTTAACACGAAGCGAAGGTACCGCTAATCTTAACTATTCAAATTCAAACTTATTTAAAATATATTTTTTACTAATAATAGATAGGGTACCCATTCTCGAACCAATTTAATGTATCCGTTAACGGATATAGGTATCTAAATATCTGTACACTTACCTTATATGTATAATATATCCGTTAACGGATATAGGTATCCAAATATCTATACACTTACCCTATATGTATAATATATCCGTTAATGGATATAGGTATCCAAATATCTATACACTTACTCTATCTGTATATATCATAGGTAGTAATTTCATTGTCCATATCTGTTCTACACATTTATAAATACTCTTATCCTCTAAACGGATCGGAGCGGAGTGAGTACCCTAAAATTCATGTACTTCGATCCCTATTCCTTAATATGTAAAACAATGTATTAATTGTTTGATTGGTTTCAAATTAATTCATGTACTGTGAATTTGATTTTATGACAAAAATTAATATAATGTTGTTGCAAATTTTCAGAATTAATTTGATTATTTTTTGAAATTTTTATGGGTTGATTTCAATTAAATAATGAGTCAATAAAAAAAATTGAAAAAGTTTTGAAATAGTCAAAGAACTGAATAATACAAATTTGACATTGTTGTGGTCGGACCACTAGGCTCCATGAGCCGCAACCGATGGACCGTGTATCGATTTTAAGTTAATATAAAACAGCGTCCCTGCGCGAGCTCTAATAGTTCGCACAGGTCCCGGCTAGCAATCATCATTCAGTCAAAGGACGAGAAGTTTGTGGTCTTCTGACAACAATGTGACTATTCTAGGAGCATAGGATGGCCACCGACGACACTGGCCATTGCAAGCCTTTCATTGTCGGCAGTGGTAAAGTTTTAATGAATAAAAAAAATAATTTTAGAGAAAGTGACGCATTTACTTTTTGGTCCCTCATTGTTTTCAGTTTTTCAATTGGGCTCTAAAACCTTTTAATTTGTTCAGTTAGGTCCTAAAATTAATTTTGATTAGATATATAAATCACTATAATTCCATCAAAGTCAATCAAAATTTATAAAAAAAAATCTCACTAATTCTATAAAACTTTATGTAGAATTCTAGTAGAATTTGCAGAAATCCTTCAATTCCATTAAACTCAACAATTCTTTTAAAATTATACACAATCCTAATCCAATGCACCCCCTAAAAAGTCAAAAACAAAACACCTAGTTTGGAGTTCTGATTTTGTCAGTGTCCCAAGTATAAATTGTAAGAAAAAATTTTTCCCATGCTCCAAAATTAAAAAATTTCTTATTATAAATTGGATTAGATAGACTCTCGAGAAATTAAAAATTTAAACGTGTTAAAATTCCATTAATTTTGATATTTTTTATCTAAAATATATATAAAAGTACGAATGAGGGAACAATGAGTTCCTAAAATATCCGTGCTAAGTTTATAGATTGGAGGACTTTAATTTTACTGGTTGAAAAATAAAATTTAATTTTAATTGGTTATATTGATTTCCTATATGAATCTAAATTCTATTAGAAACTTTAGTATAATTCTAAATAGAAATCGTTATTATTATTATTTAGCTAAAAAATAAAATTCAATTTTATTGGTTGAAAATTTTATTTGTTGAAAAATAAAATTTAATTTTAATTGATTATGTTAATTTTCAAATTTGAATTTAAATTCTATTAAGAAGTTTAATATAATTTCAAATAGAAAATTATTACTATTATTTAGCTAAAAAATAAAATAAATTACACAAAAAAAATTATTATCATTAAAAAACTTTTAGCAAATTTCCTTTCTAATTTAGCTATGAACGTTTGTTAACTATGCATAGAACTAATATATATTTTATCCGTGGGACGTTTATCTATGTAGTATAATATTATCTATGTAGTTAAATTTTAATATAATTAGGAGCTTAGTTCTTTCTAATTATAATATTAATTTATTATTTTTGAAAAATTATTACTATTATTTTAAGGCTAAAAAAATAAAATAAATTACACAAAAAAAAATTATATCATTAAAAAAACTTTTTAGCAAATTTCCTTTCTAATTCCTAGGCTATGAACGTTTGTTAACTATGCAATAGAACTAATATATATTTTATCCGTGGGACGGTTTATCTATGTAGTATAATATTATCTATGTAGTTAATTTTAAATATAATTAGGAGCTTAGTTCTTTCTAATTTATAATATTAATTTTATTATTTTATTATATTAATATATAAATTTTAATTCTATTTCAATTAGAAAGTTATCCTATCGCTACCATTTTTATACATATATTACTTTTCCATTTTACTTTTTTGACTATTAAAAAATTTATATTTTTTGTCTATTAAAAAAATTACTACATCAAGCTTTTACTAATTTGAAAAATATTGAGTGCAATAATTATATATATATATATATATATATTGTCACGGACCCGTTTCCGGCGTGGGCCGGACCGGCACTAGGAACCTTAGGTAAGCATAGGCCCCGAAAACCCGTAGTAAGCCTTAATTTACCTCAACTATACATTCCATTACCAATTTAATAGGAACAGTACGCCCATACAAGTTAAGATATAAATGTTTAATTAAATGTTATACAATCCGGCCCAATTTTTAATATACAATCCGGCCCAATTTTAATTATCTCCAATAAAATTTAGTTTGGGCCTAGTCATTATCAATCACGTTCATAATATGGGCATACTGATTTTCCTGTGTCTAATAATACAATCAACCGTTTATAAAACAACGCATACGGCAAGGCCCAATTGGAAATACACAACCCTATAACTGCGGAGTTCAATAACATTCTGATAATACAATTGGAAATACACGACCCTATAACTGCGGAGTTCAATAATATTCTGATAATAGAATAATTTATACATCCAAAATTAAATAACAGAAATATAAAGCTTACATTTATAACTCTGCTGAGAAGAGTGCAGAGCTTCAGTTGAATCCGCTGCTTCCTAGTACCTGAGAGGTTTGTTGGGGGGGTGAGTTTTGCAACTCAGTGAATAATAATAAATAATACACCACATACACTCAAGCAAAATGCACCCTAGTATACTGAATGAACACACAACAGTCAATCATATGGCATCACATCAGCACCCACAAACAATAAAATAAATTCACACACGTGGGGAAATTAGTCAGTGCGTCACTAAACCCCCGACGAAGCCGTCCTCTACAAACAGCCCATCCTCTCAAACATGTGCCACCCGGGGAGCCAATCCCATATCTGGGGGGACCGGGTCTAATTCCTTCACTTGACGCAGTCCTCTCAATATTTTATTTTTACATTCCCCTCTTTTCTATTTCCATAATTATCTTCATTTCATCAGTTCATCAGGTGCACACGGGGGCGCCGATCCTCCCATTTACCGGCCGCGGTCACGGCCGACGGTCCAATTTCATAATTTCATCAGGATCCATATTTATCGACCGTCCTCACAAACCCATGGTGACCCACTTCATCCCAATTTCACACAAACAGAGCACAGTATATACACAGCACAAGTAATCAAACAAGTCATTCAACGTAATACACCAATTCATCCAAATGCACAATTACATATAAGTATAATTATAGTGATCATAACATAATATGTATGATAAAATACAATATATAAATACATAAAAAATGTAATGTTATGCAAATATAGTGTTGACATGCATTATTTATTATTACTCACAGTGATGGAGGACGAAGCTCTAGCTTTGATTCAGTCCGGGAGGAGCACTAGACGGACCCGAGCAATCTAAGGAATTTAAGAATGACACAAAACAAAAGTAACTATATAACGTATATCAGATTAAAGTATTTCTTACCAACTCTTAGCAATTTTATTTTTATACTTTTAATTTTTCTACGTAATCTTACGTAATCTAATCTCGATATTAATTTCTTTTCTATAATAAATTTTATTTGCTACCGAAATTCATTTTATTTTCTACCGAAATTTCGGTAATATCTCCCCTAAAAATTAGATTATCCACCTGTTAAAATATCAATAATTTATCTAATAACTCCAAACCACATGGCCCATCCATCGGGCAATCAATCAAATAAAATTTTTCCCATCCTCCTTCAATCTCAACATCCCCACACAATCAAATTTAAAATTTACAATAACATTATACCTAAACTACCTTAATCTACACTTTAATTCTATTAATATATCATTATCATCATTATCAAGGTTCCTTAATTAAATCAAAACACTAATATTATAAATCTATTAAACTACTCACAATTACTTAAATTTAAATTAACTAAATAATTAACTACAATAAATAAAATTAATCAACTAATTAATTAACTACAATAATAAAATTAATCAACTACAATAATAACATTAATTCAAGTAACTAAAATTATTAAAATTAATTTTGTTACCCCAAAATATAATCTTTGTCGAATTTTTGCAAGATCGGGAGTTTTTTTTCGCGTGCCGGATCGAAGGGCAGTAACTGCCAGTGGCCGGATCCAACTAACAGTGGCGGAGAGAGGCGGAGAGAGGCGGAGGAGCGGCTGCCAGCGAGGCTTGAAGCTGGTACTGCTGCTGTAGGCGCGACAGACCTGACAGAGGGTCTGACTGTGTGATCTGGTGGCGCTGCGTGAGCTAGGACGAGGCGGGACGAGCGACAGAGCTGCTCCGGTGACGAGCGGCAGTGAGAACGGCG